GGGGCTAATTGAGCCATCTTTGGTTGCTCTTGGCCCGTCTGACGCCTTCGGAGGCCGCCTTGAGGGCCTCTCTGGGCCCTCGTAGTGTACTCCAGGAGCGTTTTAGGGCCGCCTTGGGGCCCACTTGGGAGCCTCTTGGGCGATGTTGGGGTCCTCTTGGGCCGATTTTGGGGCCCTATTTGGAGCCGTCTTGGGCGATCGGAGACCCAAACAGGTGAGAACCTCAACATCCGACAAACACCCAATGAACATCTATGATTTTCCCATGCTGTCTTGAGGCCGTCTTGAGAGCGTCTTGAGCGGTCTTGGGCCATTTTGAGCCGTCTTGGTGTCGTCTTGGCGGCCTTGGCATGGAGGCCATCTTGGTCGCCTGGAGGCCGAAGAGAGCGCTGGGGAGCGATTTCACAGGGGGCGGCCTGCGCGAGCGCGTGCGAACTGGGAAGTGGGTCGGCCCTAGAAAGCATTGAAACAACCATTCCCAGGGGGACCACAGGAGAATTCAAACATGCCCACTCAGTGCAGGCACGGTGGCGGATGACGTCACTCCGCTGGGCCTCCAGTGGCAACATTTTCGCAGTTCGCAGGCCCCCAGCGATGGCGAGGTCTAATCTGAACCTGCGTATGACATCACTCCGCTGGACCCCCCAGTAGCCCTCGAACGTGGTGACATTTTCGCAGTTCGAAGCCCCCCAGGGATGGCGAAGTCTAACCTAAATCTGTGTACGACGTCACTCCGTTGGATTCCCCAGTCGCCCTCGAACGTGGTGACATTTTCGCAGTTCGCAGCCTCCCAGGGATGGCGAGGTCTAGTCTGAACCTGCGCATGACGTCACTCCGCTTGACCCCCCAGGAGCCTTCGAAAGTGGCGACGGCTCTGCGTTCGCATCCCCCCAGCAGCAGACCCTATGACGGCGAGGGAAGAGGCAGGCTGGCAAGCAGAAGCGAGGCAGGCAGGAGGCAGAAGAGAAGAGGAGGAGGGCAGAGAGAAGGCGGGAGGTGAGAGGACGGCAGGTCGCGATCGCAGTGTTTGCTCGAAGCGAGAACCCAGCGCGGGAGGGCTGGGGAACAAGCGGTAATTATACACAACATGCATCGGAATTCCGCGCAGATTTCTTGGATCGGCGCTGGCCCCCCGGGAAGGGGGCTCCCAGGTATTATGTCTTTCGGAGGCCCCCAAACGGGGTGGTGACCACACCGTGTGGTGAGCTGGTGGGGATTCGGAGTCGCCGCACGGTTTTGGGACTCGGGTCGTTCTCCGAGGACCTCTCGGGCGACAGGGGCCTCCAGAGTCCCCAAACCGTGCGTTGACGGACCGTGCGGTGAGGCCTTGGGGGGTTTCGATGTCACCGCACGGTCTGTCACCGCACCGTTTCGGGACTCCAAAGTCTTCCAGATTCCTAACTTTTCTCCTCGCGATGTTTCCGACCTCACGCCTCTTCTTTCGACGGGCTAGACGAAGTTTCTTCCGTGAGCAGGGCCGCCGCGCGTGACGGTGCGCGTGCTGTGTGTGTTGGCGCTCCAGCTCTGCGGCGCTCTAGTCGAGTCTCAGGAGGGAAAGAAACACACAGACACAATTAATCGTCGACTCCCAGGGAAATATGTGAAAATATGAAAAGTGGGGGGGGAAGACCCAAACCCAGAAAAAATATGAAAATTTGCGGAATCCTGTTATTAGTGTGTATTGATTTGTGTGTCCCTGGGCCCCGTCAGAGTCATCCGCATGTCTTCTCTTTCGATTCGACGATCCCGGGACCGACCGATGAGAGCACCGAGGCCGCCGTCAGTGCACGGCATGGCGGCGAAGCTTCCCCCACCTCCTCTTAGAGAGGGCGCCCCCCCTCCCCCCACCTCCCCCCTTTCTCTGGTCAGAGTTGGGCTCCGGCGTGGGTCTGGCCCCACCGGTACGGGCCAGTGTCAAGTCGGGCCTGTCCCTCTACAGGAGGAATATTAAGTTTTTCATTTTTTTTTTTTTTTTTTTTTTTGAAAACAAACCTCATCCGGCAATTAAGAACCCCCCCCCTCTCCGGCGAAAGTATAACGCACCTGGCACCCCAGAAGCGTTACCCTGGCACCTCGCACCTTTCTGTGAGCGCAGACGAGTCTGCTCGCCGAAACAAGCAAAACGCCTGAGACATTGTCGCAATATTTTGGCTAGTATTCGCCATTACGGATCAAGCCGAGGGCCAAGGCCTCAGTCAAGCGGCCTTGGCCCAGCTAAACAGAACAAATCATTCTCCTCCTCAAGACTCCCTTACGGCACGGCACCAACACGAACAACGACAATAATACCAGCAATAAGAATTATATCTGGAACAACAAAGCCAATAAGAGCAACATCAACAACAACATCAACATCAAAAACACCGACAACACAGCCAACACCAACAGTAACAACATTAAGTCCCACGCAAGGGAGAGCCCAGCTTTGAAAAGGAACCGTCCGTGCCTATGATGGGGGTCGAATAATGTTGGCGGTGTGGGTGCTAAGATAACGCGCCGTGCGTGGCGGGGGCGATATCATTGGATGCACTACCCCACACGACGGCCGGGAAACAACAATTTTCCAATAGGGGTGGTAATAAGGATCGCAGAGGACAAGGATCACGAAGAAAATGAGAAAAAGGAGGGAGGGAGGAAAGAATCAGGGGAGCCCGTCGGTTTTCGTATTTTTATTCTTATTCTTATCCTTACTCGTATTCGTAATATTATTACTATTCTTCGTCTTCTTCATTCTGATTCGTAATATTATTACTATTCGTAATATGATTACTATTATTCTGATTGTTGGACTCATTGTACCTCTTGTCTTTTTGGACAAGCTGTCGAAATTATTTTGTGCGGGTGCGGTGCTAAGATAACGCGCCGTGCGTGGCGGGGGCGATATCCTCGGATGCACTACCCCACACGACGGCTGGGAAAAAACAAATTTTCAACAGGGGTGGTAATACGGCTCGTATAGGACAAGGATCACGAAGATAAGGAGAACACACACTTATTATTATTCTTATTCTCACTCTAATCATGCTTCTTATTCTTCTTCTTGCTACTATTCTTATTCTGATGGTTATTATTCGTATTCTTGTTCGGATTCTGATTTTTCGTCTTGTGATTACTATTCTTACTCTTATTCTTATTCTTATTCTTTTTCTTATTCTTATTATGATGATTCGTATTCGTAGCCTTAGTCTTATTATTATTATTATTATTATGCTTACTCTTATACTTCGCATTCTTATTCTTATTATTCGTATTCTCATTGTTTTTCGTATTACCATTGTTATTATTATTACTACTCGTATTTCACTCTTATTCGTATTCTTATTCCAATCCCCATTGGGGTACCACCAAAGCCGGGGCGCGGGAATCATTGATTTTCGTTCCATTTGCGCGGAGCTAACTAGATCGCTCGGCGAAAACAGCTTTTTAGAATTATTTAATTGCGGCGCGGTGCTAATGATAACCCCGGGGGTTCCTTAATGGCTTCATGAGGTTAGTCAGGGGACGATTGTTGGACCTTTTTGTTTTTTTTCGAGGGGGGAGGGCATTGTTTTGACTATTTTGAGTTTTTCGCCCAAAATCCGCCTGTAGGGGGACATGCCCAACCCGAGGCCAGTGGCCGCGTGCGGCCCGCCTCGCGACTGGTGCGGAGGATCAGGATGAGCCGCCAGGGACGTGCGTAGTAGTAGGTCAAGGGGGAGGATGGAGAGGAGGGAGGGAGGGAGGGAGGGAGGGAGAGCGGTCTGGAGAGGGAGGGAGGGAGGGAGGGAGGAGAGGAAGAGGAGGAGGATGGAGAGGGGGGGAGGGAGGGAGGGAGGGAGAGCGGTCTGGAGAGAGGGAGGGCGGGAGGGAGGGGAGGGAGGGAGGGAGGGCGGAGGAGGAGGAGAGGAGGAGGATGAGGAGGAGGAGGAGGAGGAGGAGGAGGAGGAGGAGGGAGGAGGAGGGAGGATGGAGGAGGAGGAGGTGGAGGAGGAGGAGGAAGAGGAGGAAGAGGAGGAAGAGGAGGATGGAGAAGAAGGAGGACGGATGAGGAGGAGGACAGAGGACGAAGGACGGAGGACGGAGGTGAAGGATGAGGAGGAGGAGGAGGGTCAGTGTAAACCCGAGACGCATCAACGATGTTGGAATAAACCCTCCCCTCAGGCTCGTTCTTCATGGGCCTCCACAAGGATTCATTTCCACTGAAGGAGGTTCCCCGTTAGGAGACAACCGCTTGAATTTCCCGTAGCGTGCCAAAACAGCGTAATCGGGACCGCAACGCCACGAATGAATCTGACTGTTGCGTCTTGACGATCCTGAATCGTGCCAGAACATCATTCCTGGGACTTCAACACCACGAATCAGCGTAGCTGCTCCGCCCTGGCAATCATGAGTCGTTCTAAATCTTTTCTGGTACGTTAACCATGGGAGTCCGTGGAATTCGTGTTAATTGTCGAAACGAATGTGCGCGGCGCTACGGCGACAGCTACGTTTTGAAAAGGGACCGCCCTCCATTTGCGAAGCTCTTGCGTACTTTTATGACGAATGTGCGCGGCGCTACGGCGAGAGACACATTCTGAAAACCACCAGCCCTCAATTTGTGAAGCTCGCAAACTTTTCAGACGAATGTGCGCGACGGTGAGGCGAGAGCCACATTTTGACAACGATGGTAAGGAAGCCTCTGGCGAAGCGCCCGGCCCGCCCTTTGGACCGGCCTTGGTGTGCGACAAAGAAGAGTTACCTAAAAGGAAAAGGCATGGAGGAGGAGGAGGAGGAGGAGGAGGAGGAGGAGGAGGAGGAGCAGGAGGAGCAGGAGCAGGAGCAGGAGGAGGAGGAGGAGGAGGAGGAGGAGGAGGAGGAGGAGGAGGAGGAGGAGGAGGAACGTGGAGGAACGTGGAGGAGGCGGAGGTGGAGGTGGAGGAGGAGGAGGAGGAGGAGGAATGTGGAGGAGGCGGAGGAGGGAGGGCGAGGAGGAAGCAGGGCGAGGGGTCTCGTCGCCTTGCCCACCGCCGCCCTCGGCGGAGGTCCCGGCTGAGGCTGCTGCTGCTGGCCCTCGCGTGCCTGGCGTGCCAGGCGGCCGGCCTCCAGACGGGCGGAGGGAAGAGGGAACAGGGAACAGGAAAGAGTTCCTCCTCCTCCTCCTCGGGCTCCTCCGCCTCCTCCTCGGTGCGCCTTTCGCCGACTACGACCCAGCTGACAATTTCGTCGTCGCGAACGAGGTGCACATGCTGGACAAAGACGGCGTCGCCTCCGCGGACGCCGACGTCCCCGCCCTGAGCGGCCCCGCGAGCCGCGCGGCGGGCGCAAGCGGGCCCTGAGGAGCCTGGATCCTTCGCCTCGGGTGCATCTGCAGGGCAGGCGTGTCGGGTTTTGCTGGACATTGGGTGGGTAGTGGCTGCTAATTCGCAGACGATTGCGTGGGTAGTTGCTGCTTATCTCCAACGCAGTGGGTGGGTAGTGGCTGCTTATTTCCAGCGTGTTGGGTGGGTAGGGGCCGCTTGTTTCCAGACGTATGGATGGGTAGTGGCTGCGTATTTCCATGCAGTGGGTTGGTAGTGGCTGCTTATTTCCAGACATTTCGTTGGATAGTGGCGGCGCTACTTCAGTTCGGTCGGTGGCAGCGTTGGCAGCTTCATGATCGTGGCGATCGTGCGCCCAGAGGGCCTGTGGTCCTGCGACACCCGCGGCTCGGGGCCCCTGCCGTGCTTCGGATACGTGTAGGCTCCGTGGTGCCGCTTGCCGCCCAGGGACCCCTTGTGTCCCGCCTGCCAGTCGTTCGCTGAGCCTCTGAGGGGCCCATCCGCTGCTTTTGCTGCTGGCCCTAGCCCTTTCCCCGCTTCTCGCCTCCTGCCTCCTCGGCCGTCGGGGCTAACTCGCGTGGCCAGCTGGCCAACAGTCTTTCCTGTCTCAGGTCCCGCTCGCACCTCGCGCGTCGGTGCGTACATCCCTGCGACCCAGCTTCTGGGTCCGTCGGGTCCCGCCTGGCCCTTCCCCATGCAAGTGGCGTTTAATTGTCGTCCGACGGACGCGCTCTCCGTGACTTTTTCGCGCTCGAAGCTCACATTCGGAGCCTCTCAAATGTCACGCTTCCCATCCATATCATATTGAATTGCTTGTAGTTGATTAGCTGATGCTGGTCACAGTGCCGCTGCCGCAGCCTGTTTTTCGCTCAGCATGGACACGACGAGAGTAGCAGTCCCACAGTCGTCTCTTATTGTATCTCCTCCCCCTCCCCCTCCTCCTCTTCCTCCTCCTCCCCCTCCACAATTACTCAATATGAATACTACTCTCCCTCTTCCCCTGATGGCGTGCTGGGAATATCCGACCCCCCCCCCGCGTACTGTTTTTTACACAGGAATCCCGGGAGTTGGGTTTTCGCCTGCGTTTTTTTCAAAATGCTGCTCTCGCTGAGGCGCCGGCCTCATTTCTGCTCCCGAATCGTTCCGAATCGTGCTCCCGCTGCAGCGTGGGCCTCATTTTCGGATCGGTGTTTTGCCTCCGTCGTTCAGGATGGCGTTCTCGCCCCAGCGCGGGCCTCTTTCTCGCGCGCCCATCCGCCCGCCACCACCGCGCCGCACCACGCCCCGCCCCGCCGCGCGCACACCCACCGCCACTTCCACCCACCAACGCACGCACGCACGCACGCGCACCACCACCGCGCACCGCCACCACCACCGCACTACCCCACCCACCACCACCACGCTACACCGCGTCACACCACATCACACGCGCGCACACACAGACACACACGCACGCACGCACGCACGCACGCACACACCACACATACACACGCACACACACACACACGCACACACACAGACACACACACACCACCACCGCCACCACCACCACCGCCATCACGCACGTACGCACCTGGCCCACCACCAAACCACTAAGACGCCACACCACGTCACACCACAGCACACGCGCACACACGCACACACACACACACACATACACACCACCACCACCACCACCACCACCACAACAACCACAACCACGCACACACGCACGCACGCACGCACGCGCACCACCACCCACTACGCACACGCGCGCGGAGCCACAGGTCCGCTACGACACGCGTCCGCCGATAGAGAAAATCAGCGCCATGGTAAGGGATGGGAGGGAGGGGTAGGATGTCAGATGTTGACGCGAGCGCACCTAACTTGTCGTCCCCCCTCCTCCCCCTCCTGGTGTGGCTCCTGGTGTTGACCCTTGTTACCTCACGGCGTTTCGCTAGAGGGCTCTATAGGGGGAGCACAACAGACTACGGAAGAGTGCCACGCGGGGGGGCGGGGAGCCCGAGGACGTTGGGTCCGGCAGCCGCTTCGCATGATAATTCTTCACAAGTCATTCAGGAATCGAGGTTTCGCTTCAATGTATCAGCCACGCGCAGAGGGGTGGGGTGGGAGGGGGGGGGCTTCTTAGAAGCACCCCTCCTTCTTAGAAGGCGCGGGCCTTATCTATAGATGTAAGGCTGGCGCCTTCTAAGAAGCAGCCTCCTTCTAATTAG